TTTTTCCCCCCCTCCATTACTCAGAAATTTTACTTAAGTAGAATTCTTTCTTAAGGCATTAAAAAACCCAGGAAGTTTCTGTGATTTCCCTAAGAGAGTTTTCTCATCTTTTGCAGTCATAGGCTGATACTGTCAAAAACCAGAGCCTGAGCTTGTGAGTTGATGAATTACAACATAAATTGAGTTTAAAATCTCACTAGATCTCTTATAAAAGTTAAAGGACTTAGTAGGGAAAAGAGTGGGACCATAAAATTGGACAGTGACATAGCGCTGATTTGGGTGACTAGTACCTCAGACCCCACTTCTGAACTAAATTCTCTCACTGTTACAAATTTTGATCAACTATGTGTAAGAGACACAGCAACAAATAATGGCTTAAACAAGGAAGACATCTTTTCTCAACAAGTTCAGAGGCAAGCAATCTAGGACTTGACTCATGTGGATGTCATCAAGGAACCAGGTTCCTCCCCGTTTTTTCCCCCCTCCATCCTTAGTATTGGCTTTTGTCCTCGTGGTCACAGTACAAATGCTGTGCTCCCGTATTCCAGCATGGACATGGAGGGAAGTGGGTGGCGTCTCTATTACAAAGGTAAAACAGCCACAGATAAAGAGTTCTGCTTGTTTTAGCTGGACACATTTTCTTGAACACAGTTGAGGTTCTTTTAATAAGGAAGCAAAGAAGACTGGGTGTGAAATAGGAAACTAACAGAGTCCATCATAATGTCATTCTTTAAAATCAGCCTTCATGATACACAGTGTTATTATCTGTAGTCAGTCCAAGCCATTGCATGTCACGTGAGCACATCTGTTTGCTTTTCTGTGAGTGCTATTTAAGTTTATTTTTTAAAATTTCATAGCTTTATTGAAGTATAATTAATGTGCAGTAACTGAGTGTATTTAAAATTTGCAATTTGACAAGTTTTGATATGAGCATCTTTTCATGTGCTTTTTTGCTGTCTGTCTCTTTTGGTAAAGAGTCTGTTCAGATCTCAGGCTCATTTTTTTCTTATTGGGTTGTATATTCTTTTTTTTACCGCACCCCCCACCCCCTGTGCTGTGCAGTATGTGGGATCTTAGTTCCCTGACCAGGGATTGAACCTGCCCCCCTTCATTGGAATCGCAGAGTCTTAACCACTGGACTGCCATGGAAGTCCCTAAGTTTTTAACCCATTTTGAGTTAATTTTTGTATATGGTGTGAGGGAAGGGTCCAACTTCATTCTTTTACATGTGGATATCTCGTTTTCCTGGTGCCATTTGTTGATAAGACAGTTATTTTAAAGTTTTTGTTTAGTAAGTCTGATGTCTAGACTTCCTTAGGGATGGTTTCTGTTCCTTTGAATTGTCCAAACGTTCTTGTTTCTTAGTATGCCTTGTGGTTGGTTTTTTGGAGAAAATTGAACATTTGAATATTACAATGTGGTAACTCTGGGAATCAGATTCTTCCCTTTCCCTGGGGTTTACCATTTTTTTGATTGTTGAAGGCTATAATAGGCCATTTGTTACTGAGTTTCCCAAACTATTTTTGCAAAGACTGTGTTCCTTAATGTGTGTGATCACCGAGTCTTTGTCTTAGTTTGTGTTTGGTTAGTGTTTTGACAGATTTCTTTGAATGTCAGGAGCTGAAAAAACAAGAAAAAGAAACAAAACAAAGAAGCACTTCTCTGTCTTGACACATTGGCTTGGTGCCAAGGCTGTCCTTCAGCACTTAGCCACCCTTGAATTGAGCCTGGGATCACCCCAAGGTGAAAGCTTAGGGTCTTCTCAGATGTTTTCTGAGCATGTGTCTTGCCCTGAGTCTGCTCATTTCCCTCCAGAACCAGGAACAAGTGTCCCAATCTGAGAACGTGGGTTTCCCTCTTAAAGACTGCCAGTATGCTGAGGAGTGTGTGGGGCAAGAACAAGTAAAGTGTCCCCAAAATTTTCCTACTGCTTTTTTTTTTTTTTTTGCGGTACGCGGGCCTCTCACTGTTGCGGCCTCTCCCGTTGCGGAGCACAGGCTCGGGACGTGTAGGCTCAGCGGACATGGCTCACGGGCCCAACCGCTCCACAGCATGTGGGATCTTCCCGGACCTGGGCACGAACCCGTGTCCCCTGCATTGGCAGGCGGCCTCTCAACCACTGCGTCACCCGGGAAGCCCCCTACTGCTTTTGA